AATAAAGGAACGAAACACCAAGACATGCTAAACGTGAATGAAAACACAGTAAACTTCGTGGTGAGCGAAAGAAGCCAGACACAAAAAGCCATGTGGCACGCGGTTCCGTCTGTAGAACATGTCTAGGACAGGCAAAGCCACAGCAGAAAACAGGTTAGTGGTCACCAGGAGCTGTGGGACAGAGGAGTCAGGATGGCGTGGAGTTTCTTTCGGGGATGATGTGAATATGCTCCACCCACTTGAAATGGATGAATCGTGTGCTATGTGAATGCTATCGAGATGGACTAAAGGCTGCTGGAGGCTGACTCACCCTGAAGGGGCTGTTGGGGATGCTGACGCCTCCCCAGGACACCATGGCTGTGTGCTTCACTGGCTTCCTGGGCACGTAGGAACAGCTGTAAGTGCCGTTGCCATTGTCCTTCACCAATGCCTCCACAGGGCAGCCTTCATTGTCCTGTCAGGCAGGTAGGAGCAGGTGGCCTGCTGGTCAGTGCCCAGGCCTGGGTACCCACACCTGCCCTGCCCCCAACACCCATGGGCACTCTACCTGGACTTGGACCCGGAGTGGGGCCTTGCCACCGTGCTTGGCATCCACTGTGAACTCTGCTGGCTTGTTGACGGCCACACCTGTCTTCTCCAATCCAGGCCCACGTGCCTTCACCTAGTGGGAGACCACCCAGCTGTCAGGGGACCAGGTCTAGGCTGCCTGAGCCACAACCCAGGCAGGGTGGCCAGGGACACAGTGCCAGGAATACTGCTGGGGATACCAGCCCAGGACCCGGGCCCACCCCCACCGGACCCCAAGCAGGAGCAGCAGGATGAGACTTAGGCCATCGCTGCCTGCTCTTTACCCTGTCTGGGTGGAAGTCCTGGGGTGCATCACGGATGTCAGCCATGAAGGGGCTGAGGCGGATGTCCTCACTGTTGCATAGCACATGAACAGCATACTCGCCAGCCTCCTGTGGCCAGTAGCGCACATCACAGGAGCCATCGCCCTTGTCGTCACATTCGATCTTGGCCTGCGATGGACCTTCCACCGAGAAGCCTGACAACAGCCAACAGTCCCCTCAGTGCCCTGGAGCCTCAGGGTGGGTTGTCCTTGCCATCGTCTGTCCCCAGGTGCCCATGGTGCAGCCCCCAACTTACCCAGGGTGCCCACGTCGTCCCCAATAGCCTCCACCACAAAGTCTGCTGACTTGCCAACGACGCCGCCCTCCAGCCCAGGGCCCCATGCCCGCACCTTCTGATTGCCACACTCGGTGCCCACCTTCACCTCGAAGGGACTGCGAATGGGAGAGCCACACAGGAACACCAAGAATCACTACATGAGCCAGCCTGGGCCCCACTGTGGCGGCCAGGCAGGAAGAGCCCGTGTGGCCCCTCATCATCAGGTGGGGAGGCAGGAGGAAGAGGCAGAATGTGCAGAGCTGGGAGAGGGATGCCTGGGGGCCTCACCTGCGCCCAATGTTCTGACCGCCCCACGTGATGGTGACGATATAGGTCCCAGGGACCGTGGGGTAATACTCGAAGCCATACACGCCATCCCCCAGGTCCTTCTGCTTCACGCGCTCCTCTCCCTCTGCGAAGACAAGGAGGGCCTCAGGCCTGCCCAGCAGTGAACCTGGGGGCTGCTGCCACCCACCCTGGCCTGGCTCCAGGCCAACTTACTGGGGCCCTTCACGGTGACCTTCAGCTCCCCACTGCCAGCGCCCTTTGTGTACACCTTGAAGTCGGCTGTCTCCTTCACCCGCACACCCTTGGGCTGGAGGCCCCGGCCGACTGCCCGGCAGGCACTCGGGTTACAGGCTGTAGGCAGAGGGGCCAGCTGAGCACCAGCAGCTCGGCTGGGTGACCCCTCCCTTGCCTCCTGCAGGGCGAGGCTGTCAGGACTGGAGGGTCCCTCAGAGTTTGGTTGGAGGGGGACATGCAGGAAAGAACTGGAAGGAACCGTGACCCCAGTAACTGTGGCCTGGGCCAGGACACGGCAGGCCTCCTCCCACCTGCTACACACCAGCCCAGAGCCCCCCGCCCTCCCTTCCAAGAAGAAGACAGATCCAAGTACCGTTGACCCCGTGGGCAGAGCAGAGAGCAGCAGGTTTCTAGACAGCTGGAGCGAGCTCTTCCAAAGGTGAAAGCGTGAGGAGAGAGATGGAGAGGGCCGAGGAGAGGCGAGGAGAGGAGGAGGGGCCCCAGCAGGGGAGGAAAGACAGCAGGTGCCCAGACAGTGGAAGCTCAAAGAGTAGGCGCCCTGGGGTGGGCTGCAGCGGAACTGGACCAGGGGGCTCCCCCTCCTGTGGGAGGCCCAGACTGCAGTGCCACAGCAGAGGGCGGTCAGGGCCGGGCCTACCTTGGCCAACAGTGACAGTGTAGGGGCTGCGAGGGATGGGCACGCCGGCAAACGTGACGTGCACGGTGTGGACACCCTCCATGGTGGGCTGGTAGGTGCAGCGGTATGTGCTGTCGCCCCGGGCCTCCAGCTGAGGCTCTACCGTGCCCTTCTGTCCCGCGGGGTCCTGGATCACAACCTCAACCTCGCCCGTGCCAGCTCCTGCCACAAGGCACCTGCTTAGCTCCCCGGCCCCAGTGTGGCTCTCCCCACAGACCAGCTGGGCCTCGGCAGCCTCCCCTTACCTGCTGTAAAGATCTCAAAGTAGGTGGTCTTGTTGGCGATGTTGCCACTGGGCTCCAGGCCGGGACCTTGGGCTGTCACTTTGCTGGCGTCACCCTGTGACTTATCCACATACACCTCGAAGGGGCTCTTGGCGATGTGCTGGCCAGCAAATAGCACAGTGACCTGTCCCCAGAAGGGTGGGCCGTGAGGGTAGGCTAGGGACCTCCAGCCACCGCCTGAGGTCACAAGCCTCCCCACTGGCCAAGGGCTCACCTTATGAGTCCCCGTCACCTCGGGGACGTACCAGACGGAAAAGGTGCGGTTCTTGTCATTATTGGCAGTCACTTTTGCCTGCAGTGGGAAGGAGCCTGTGAGCCTTCGCTAAGAGCAGCCCCACTGAAAGGGAGTGCTGCGGGGTCTCCGCTGCGGGGTCTCCGCTGCCAGCAGCTAGCCCTACCTCCTCCTGGTGTCCGGCCGGGTCCTCCACGTACACCAGCACCTCTCCCTGGCCGGCACTTCTGGTCTCCACAGTGAACTCCGCCCGCTTCTTCACCATGTTGCCTGTGGGCTCGATGCCTGGCAGGGGAGGGCGAGCCAACCACAGGCCAGTTGTTAGGGCCACAGCCTCACCCCTCCACCCCTCAGCCCTGGATGCTAAGGGAGGCGGGCAAGAGCACCGGTGGCATGCCAGCCCCCAGGCCTCTGCAGGCTCAACGCCCCTCCCTGCTGGCCCCTAAGTCAGGCACATTCCAAACTGGGCAAGTTCATTCAGTGTGAGCTGCGGCACAAAGCCTGGCCTCGGGACCCAGCTGTGCTCTTGCCGCTGGGACAGGCCTGTGCCTGTTTTCTGGAACATTCATTCTCACCGCACTGGGCCCTTGTTCCTGTGTGAGCTGTGACTGGGTTCTAGGTCCCTGTTACTGAGTTCTGGTTCATCTCCATTTATAACAAAGACCACTGGGTGCTACCTCCCTGAGGACCTCACGCTGCAGGTCTCTTGCCTACTCAGTGGAGTGTTGTCACTAGTCCCGACCCACTCCTGTCTGACTTTTGGGTGGCCTGATCACCTAGCCACCATGTAACCCAAGACCCCTCGGGACCTCCACGTTTGGATGGGACACTGTCTTACGGGTAAGACATTGGCACATGGGTGCACCCCTGGCTGGGCTCCCTCACCTGGCCCGTAGGCACGGGCTTTCTTCGGGTTCAGTTTGGGCCGCAAGGGTGCCCCTGGCTTCAGCTTGGCCTTGGGGAACTGGGACAGGTAGGTCATGACAGAATGCTCATCCACGTTGGGGTCCACAATCTCCTCGGGGGTGATCACCTGTCACGGGCAGAAAACAGGAGCCATCAGGCCTCCGAGTCTCTCCCAACTGCCGATCAGGTCCCCTACAGCCGCAGACAGGCCGGGCGGGTGTACCTGGGGGATGCCCAGCCAGTCATCCGCCTGCTGCATGGCCTCTCGTGCATTGTTCACAGGCTTGCTGGCATCCCAAGAGTCCCAGTCAGGACACAGGCCTATGGCACAAGGAAGGCTGTGAATCCGGGGGCTACAGAACCCCCTCAAGGGCCACCCATGGGCAACCCCAGCCCAGTCTCTCCTGCCTCTGTGCCCCCTCACCCGGGGCACAGCTGTCGACCAGGGCACCCAGGGCCCGGCCGCTCTGCCAGTCCCGGCTGAAGTTGGTGATGGGCAGCTGTGGCAGCTTGTTCTGGATCCAGCCCAGGAGCCTCTGCTTGGGGGTCTGCTTCTTGGCCTCCTCATCCTCCTCCTCATCCCACATGGGCATGGAGATGGAGTAGTGCAGGATCAGGGTCCAGATGAGGCCCAGGATCAGCTTCAGGTTCCCGTCCACGATGGCCTTGCTGTCTGTGAGTAGAAGAGTGGCTACACTGGGCACACAGCTGTGCGGGAGGGGCCGCTCCCAGGCTTTGGGGTCATGGTCTGGTAGCACGGGATGGGGGGGCCAAGGAGGAGGGAGACACCCCGTCTTGACCAGTGGTAGGAAGTGGATGAGGCCCTCTCTGCCCAGCATCCCAGGGGGCGTTCAGAAGTAAAGGAGACTTTGGGGTGAGGGGAGATACCCACAGACATGCGATGATAGCAGGGTATGATTACTGCCAGAAGCCCTGGGCCCAGAGGAAGGGCAGAGGGCAGACCCAGCCCACAGATGGTCAGCTCTGGAGAACAGCTGGACAGTGTCCACAGCTGCCAGAGCAGGGGTCTGCCACCCGCCTCAGGGGCCTATGGGGAACCAGGAGGAGGAGATTGGCTCCAGTTGGCCCAGAATCCAGGGCCCATGAGCTGGAGTGGGGCTGGGGCTGAGGAAGAGGAAGACGGGTGGCCCTGGGTGGTTGGGAAATACAACTGTTGTTCCAGGGTGGGTGGGGTGAGGCAGGGGAAGTGGGGAAGTTGGGCAAACACCCTTTGGGTAAAGGAGTGTGACCCCCCCCACCACCTCCACTTCCTCTACCACCTCGAAGACCCAAGCTTGGAGCTGGGAGGCCACAGGCCCGGCCAGGGGATAGGCCCAGAGCCCAAAGGAACCAGCAGTTGGGCCACATGGCCCTGACTCACTGGGGCCCAT